CATCTAAATAAAAGTAATCTATATTTCAGTACTAGATCATTCAGTACAGTAATCTAAGATTCAGTTTGCCAGTATTTCACAGCAAAACCACAGCTTAAATATCATACAGCTAGGGCACTCTCCATCGGAACACGGTTTCGCGTCGTTTTAATCGCGCAGCCCGTAAATCCCGCCACTGGACGAAAAAGAGCACATTGGCGTGAGATCGGGGTGTATATTGTAGCGTGGATGGCCGAGTATTGAACTCTTTCTTCAGCTTACAACTTTTATTCCACTCGGTACAACTTTAATAACGGAACAGGAACAAACTAACTTCAAAATGACGGTCAACTTCACAAACGATAACAATAACACACGGAAAACACGCGTTTCCGCCTCGCGGGTTTAACCTTCTTCTGCACCTGGTCGCTCCTGTCACTCCACTTCCCCTGTCTGGTTCTCGTCGTCGCTTATATACTTTTCTCCAGGTATTCCAGATAGTTCTAGAAATCTCCAGAACAGGTGCGAAACTTCCCGCTTGTCAGTGTCATATTTGACAGTAAATGGGGCCCAAATGGGGCTCCCATTTACTGAAATACCATGAATTTCGATCCCCCATTCCAAAGGTGAGTACCCCAGGCCATTTCCGTTACAATATTGTACCAGCCGCTTATAGTCGTAGTTGTTGCGGTTATATTGTTAAATACCATCCACATTAGTAAATGCGATGCATAAATTAAATACGATAAATACGATTTATTTTTCAAACCAATTTTGAAAGGTGTATCACACAAAGTGATGTTTGCATGAAATTTCTTCAAGAGAAGTTACATATTTTAATCATTCATGCAAATATTTTCCCTCAACTTTGTGATGTAACTGTTTTTTATAGTAAGAATTTATTTTTCTATAAAACAGTTAATAACAATTTCAAAAATATCAATAAAAATAAATTAATTATATGGGGTAATAAATAAATATAGCAGATACCAGATACGTATATCGCTCATTTGCAAGAAGGCAGACAGACCCTTTTCGTATTTATGTGATACTGAATCGTGAAGCTTTTCAGAGGGTTCAACATTCTAAACACTTTTAATTAAGTATGGTATTACCGTGATAATTTCTTTTTTTTATCCATTTACGTTTCAGCAAAAAAGTGCTTCTTTCATTGATTTTTGATTTGCTAAATAGAAAGTTCTGAAACGAAACATCATTGCTACCCTGACTTTTCATCAAAAAATTGTAGTGAGAACTAATTTAATATAATTTTTTTTGTAATTTTAAGCAAAGATCGTCGTTTTTCTTTTTTAAAGCGTAAGTATTACAATATGCTACCAATTACACATGGAACAATTTCCATTTCCAAAAAGACATTTCAATTTTTTTCTCGTATTCTCCAAGTGAGCCCCTATTGCCCCTTAAAAGGAATGACGCCAATTTCGAATCAACCTTTAAAATCCACTATTAGAAGGGCTGCCATATCAGTTATGCACTTTTATTTGGTCCATATGAAAAACAAAAGTTGATGATGGTTTCAAAGAATTCGTTGTAATATATTTTCATAGGTGAAACGGTGCCATGTGAAAGTATTTTTTTGTTTTTTGATATGATTTGAAATAACTTAAAAAATTAATAAAAACGAAAAACCACTTTTTCTAACTATCACAGTTAAAACAAATACTTCTTTTTTGAGAATGCCATGTACAGTTGGTATAGTACAGTACACAAACTTGTTTCAATTTGACAATTTAATTAATCTCTATAAATCTTGCTCTTCGATTTTCCAAATCTCTCAGCTACTGTTTTAGTTGACCATCCTTTCTCGATTAATGTAGTTATTCGAGTTTTTCAAATAGTTTTGACTGTCATTTTGATAATAGGAAAATGTATTTGTCAGTAATTAATATAACCTATTTCTTATCTCTTACGGTTTCGAAGATACAATGCATTGTTATCTTGAACATCCTGTACAAATGGCCAATCGATATATATTAAATAGCCAATCACTAAATCGATGTGTGGTTGTATTTTAAAATTTTAGTCAAAAATAAATTTTATTTAAAGATTTTTCAATGCGGCACTGTTCCAGCTCATTTCCACTAATCTTTTTAGTCCGGACTCGATAAATAAACCCCGTGCGAGAGAGATGGCACACGTTGGTTGAAACCATTAGATCAAACATGCCGACGGCGATTAGATCAAACATGCCGATAGCTGTCTGACATATAAGCTGTGGTAAAGCGTTAGAAAAAACGCGGGTTTTCTGTTGACAGACAGTCTTGTGCAGAAATATTGACGTAAAAGTGAAGAAACTCCAGTTTCCAAGAGTTTTCCAAGTTAGTTATAATATATTGTATATTGTATATATAACTTGCTTTTTCAGTTCGTGGAAATATTTTCGGAAAAAGACCCAGAAATAATTATTAATTTTTTCCATAATTCGAAGCTGCAAAAACGTTTTCCAAAAATGTTTGCAAAGCGGTTAAGGAGGCGAGTGTCCCAATAAAATGTATCTTAGAATTTTTCACAGAAAATACTGGAAGATTGTCAGTAATTATGCAATTTTTATGTCGAAAGAATTGCTTATTAGAAAGTTTTTTAAAACTGGAATAACCTGAAAATTTAAAAATCGTCAGAGCGATGAGGGTGGCGAATTATCCAAATATTTTTGAATGGGGCGATTTTTTTAGCAAAATTAATTTTGTTATTTTTGGCTGAAAAGACCCCCATTATTGTCAGAAAAGAAAAAAATCATCAGAAAATAATGTTTTTTGCGTTTTCGATTAAAAACTTTTTTTACACAGTTTTGTGATCGGTTTTGGAGATAACCTGAGGTTTTTGTCGCGAATTCGATGCTGAAAATAGTTTTATACCTCCAGATCGTTAGTATTTTGAAGTAAAACTCTTCAACATAGAACGTTTTTGAGTAGAAAGTAAAGCAAAAAAATTCGGTCAAAACTAAAAAACCATATTAAAAAAATATAAACTCTACAGTCTTCAGAGGTATGGAGGTGACGAGATTTCAAATAATCTGTTATAAACTTTCGCTTACTGTGTGCGTTTTTTGATAGAAAATTATTTGATTTTTGTTATAAAATCGAAGCTGGAAAGAGATTTAAAAACTTTTTACAAAGCGAAAATACCTTAAGATTGTCAGAATTTTTAAGTGAAACTTTAGAAAATTGAGCTTTTAGAAGAAAGAGTAACTTGGCGGAAACCGAAAAATTCTGAAATTTTGAAAATATTATTAATAAATGGCCCTTGCAATAACAATTAATCTAAAAACAATTATTTATTAATTAAAAACAAGTTTATTAATTGAGTGAAAAATCGGATCTTTTTGTTAAGTTATTATTAATAACTTAATTATCAAGTTCAATAAGTCGATTGTTCCTTTTAATTCCAAAACCGTGCAACGTACATGAAAAATCATTTTTTTTTCCAATTTGATTAAAAACTTAGAAGGCACATTTTAGGTCACGAAGTGTTCCAAAGTCGTAGTAATAGTAGGAGTAACAGCTCTCAAACCCTGTAAAATCATCTCAAAATATTGATTTTTGAAGACAATTGAACATCCTCTAGATCGAAAACTAAGCATTTGATAAGGAAATATATATATTCAAAAAAACGTTTTTTCACAAAATTTCTAAAAGTTACCAAATAATCTGTATGTTCGAAATAATTCAATTTTAGAAATATACAGAGCTTTCTAATATTTCATATAAATAAAGCATACTTGTTTTAGTATGATCTGTAACTTTTTAAAAACTGCAACCTTGGTAATAAAATATAACAAAATACTTGATTTTGTTGGTAGATCAGAAGAAGAGAATGTCGTTGCTAAGGGTATATAAAACTTACTCAACAAAATAGTCCATATTCTTCACGTATCTGGTCCAAAGTGAAGTGGGCAAATACCTCCAAAATGGAAATCGAAGTTCCAAAATTGCGATATTTCTTAAGGCGTATTTGGCAGCTTCAATGATTTTTAAAGCTTCTGAATCGGGGGACAGATTAGAATCCAAACATCCTAATCGAACATCCAAAGACACCCTCCCAATACCTGAACATGAAACAAGAAGTATGAAACTTATACAGGGTGATTCCTCTGGGGGTGTTGTCTGGCGGTGTTACAAGAGTACAGAAAAACTAGTAAAATAAATTAATTGTTATTAAAAACTGAGAAATTTGCAAAAAACTATAACAAAAATACGGCAGCAATGTTTTTCAAGGTAATCTGTTCTCATAAACTCGAATTCTGTGGGGTTTGGTGTTTACATAAATAATCCATACAACACCAAACATTTGAATGGTTAACTCCAAACAAGCTAGTGCCTATGAATCTCCTTATTATCCACTCTTATCAAGCAGGTTCTCGTATTCAGTTAATTAACTCGTGCTCCATTTGTATCTCTTTGTGCTGTGTGTATCGTACAAACGTGGTAGGAATGTAGCCGGTATTTATTTGGTGCCTGAGAAAGTGTCAGTTATTGTGCTCTGAGTGCCCCTGGAAGGCCCTGATACGATTATGTCCAAGACTTGTTCCTCTGTGCTTGGAACCCGAACATCGATTGTCGTCTGCTATGTTACTGTAGCATTTCCCCTGAACTAATTGCAGATCCGCAAATTCGTGAAAGAAAATTCAAAGTAAGTCGCCACCTGTAACTATCTGTTAATGGCAAAAAACATCATTGCTGCTGTGCCTTTTCACCAAAAAATTGTAGAACAGAACTTTTACAATATCGAAAATTTTCGTAATTGGAAGCAAAGATCGTAATTTTTTTATTTGAATGCTTAAGTATTCCAATATGCTACCAATTAAGCATGGAACAATTTCAAAACAATGCTTAATAGCAAAGTTGAAATTCGATCTTCAACTGTTAATATCATTTAGAAATTTTCGAAAAAAAAATTTTCAATATTTTTCTCGTACTCCCCAAGTGAGCCTCCATCACCCCTTAAAAGGAATGACGCCAATTTTGAATCACTTTGTATATCCGAGAGCTTCATTCACTTACATTCAAGGGCCCATTTGTGAATTTCATTATCGAAATCATCAGGCATTTCGCCATTGTCGTCCTGCATTTCGGTCATTCTAAAAGAAATATTCAATTGAACTGGACTATGAAGCAGCTTTAAGCGTAAACTTGCCTTTGTATGAAATCGTTGGTGACTGCTTCAATAGGCTCAACGTATTTCCTCACTGTATGAAGTTGTAAGATGGGTTTTTGAACCTTCGTCCGGAACGTTTTCCATGGCTCCCCGTGGCTAAAAAATGTTGTGTCTTATTTGACGTAGCCAACTGGAGTTACTTAACAATATTGTAAAGGTGTAAATTTGCCTATACAACTACCATAGATAAAATGTTCTTTTAACCACAAATTTTAAAACTTTGGTTGGAACTTCACTTCAAATTTTTGTGGAATATTTTCTCTTGCCATAATAGTTTTTCAACAATTGAATAATTCTATGACCAAAATTGGGACTTGAAACATGTCTCGAAATTACTGCAATCTATTGGGATCAAGAATTATTGTACCGAAACATAATAAAATGTTTTGGACGGAGTTAGAAGCTGAATCGGGAATTCTGGAAATATCTCAATCTCGAAATATTATAAAAGACAATTTTATATTCCTCTCGGGTTAATTTGATAGATTTCAGAGAGGTTTAGAACAACTAAAGGTCTTAGACAGGGACCTTGCATGTCCCCTACCTTGTTCAAGATATATCTGGACGAAGTCTTGAAGCATGCAGTTGAGGAAGAAGTTGAGGAAGCATGCAGTGGACTGGGCATACCATTGACCGAGGATACAACACTTTATATACTGAATTTCGCAAAACAGCAGGTAGTTATTGCTCAGGACACGGAAGATCTAGAGGTCATGGCCAGACTATTTCCAGAATACGAAGATTGGGGTTTTTCGGTTAACAGAACGAAGACGCAGTATCTGTGTATTAGCAGCGATAAAGTGGAGGATCTCCAAGTAGATCAACACATTCGTATCAGTTCGTGTAAAGAATACACCTATCTTGGAACAAGAATAGATAAAGAAGGTCTAACGGAAAAAAAATAGAAGATTGCATTGTGAAAAGGCAGGTGATCAGATGCCTAAATTCTATCCTGTGGGCTAAATAAATATCGAGACAGCGGAAACATTAAATATACAGGGTGTTCCGTAAATATATTAACATATTTTAACAGCGTGTTCTAGTTATTTTAGAGGGGGGTCTTCGTAATAACAAAGTTGAAATACGATCTTCAACTGTTAATATCTTCTAGAAATTTTCGAAAAAACAATTTTTAATATTTTTCTGGTACTCCCCTAGGGAGCCTCTATCACCCCTTAAAATGAATATATGCCAAGGCTTAAAGTAGCAACAACGCTACACATAGAAACTGATGATGGTGGAAAACACCGAAACGTATTTTAATTGATAAATAGACAATAAATGACTGAAGGTACGGCCATGTAGAAATGATGCAAGAAGAGCGTATTCCCAAACTGGCCCTGAAGTGGGCACCGACAGAAAAGAGAAACAGGGGAATACCTACCGAAAAAAACATAGATTGGAGGAGTATGAAAGCAATATTTGAACGGAATTTACAACCAGGAGACTGGGAAGATCGAAGAGGACGAAAGTTGGGTGTCGGAAAGAGTAGAATGTTATAGAAATTGAGATAGGTATATATAAATTTTACATTGCTTGAGTCTGTTCCTGTAACGAAACGACAGGAGGCTGCAACTTAAGTTTTATAAGAAAAAAAGGTCATCAGATTAAAATAAAATCAGATCATCATCAAATTAAAATGACGATATAAATAATAAATCAGATAAAAACGAAACTACCGATATCAAAAATAAAACCGGAAATGTATGTTTGCATCAATTTTGCAATCAATGTTGAAATTATAATAAATATTTTATTTAATTTCGAATATTAGTTTTAGGTTTATATTTGAAATGTAGGAGCCCGCTAAATATGAAACGTGACTGAATGACTGAAACGTTTCAAATGTGCAGTTATATTGCACAAATGTAACATATCATGGAAACGTTTCAAAAATGTTTCAGAAACGTCTTTAGCGCACTTGAGATTCATGGTTCTACCGCCTCCCATCGCGCATGACATTTATTATCTTATGAAACATAACCACTTTATCATCGTCTCTCGGCTCTCCAAAAAACGCATTATTTGTAAGGTTGTATTATTAAAATTTTCATTATTAGAATACTTGACTGGTTCAGCAAAAAAGTGAGTGTCCTCGAAGCACGGCAATTCTATAGTTCTGCTTCTAGGGCCATTATGTACCGCCAATTAAAATATTTGCACTCTTCAAAGATACACCATGTATAATGTTACAACATATTTATTTGCAACGTTTAAATAACGTCTATCGCAACGCTTCATTAACATTCTAACGAAACGTTTCTGCAATGTTTCAGCGAAACGTTTCTGAGAGCGGACATTTGCAGTTACATAAACATTTCTGAAACATATAGTGGAGGTAACTGAAACGTTTCGGGATTTTAATATACGTTTTTGAAACGAACAATTGTTTAGCGGGAGGAGTAACCTATGATATCCGGTATAATGTTTCTTATTATATCTTTACGTTCTTACAATTTGTTTTAAACAATATGAGAAAGAAAAGTAAGATACTGATAGAATGGTAATTGTTTTTCAGTAAGTATAGGATTCATTTTCTCTGTAGTAGGAAAACTTGACGCTAACCTACGGTTACAATTTAAATAACGCGCAGTTTGTTCCAAAACTAAAAAAACGTATTGCAAGAAAGATTTAAATTCAATTTGTAGTAATTGTTCCACCTTTTACAGGATTGAAAATATAGTTACTTACACTCCAACCACTCCTCCTTCTCTACCAAAGAAGTCCTTCCTCACTTCGCTCTTATATTTTACTAGACAGGGCATAGAAGGCCTAAACGGAGTCGGTCCTTCCCGCCTATAATGAATATGAGTGTCCGGCTATTAAGTTTACTAAAACGGAGTACCTACTTTACCTATACACTTTTTCGATTTCATCAGCATCGTAGACGAAAAGCAAATCGGGTCTACCCACTAAACCAGATAGCTTAACGATTTTTCCGTATTCCTGATAGAACAAAGTAGATAATTTGGCGACGTCGGAAATATCATACTGCCCAATCACCGGTAAAAGCCTCCAGGTATTTCCCAGAATAGGTATGGGCCGAGGACCTGGGATATCTGAGTAAGGCTTCAGACCTTGCGATTTAATTGACACTGGATTCGTGAGCTTTTCTATCTCTGGGCACACAACAGCTTCTTCTGACCGATTCCGAACCAGAAATTTTAGAAGCTTGATAGATTTTTTAAATAACGGCATCTTGGAATTATTTGTTCTAAACATAATATCAATATTTTAAAATATTTTAAATACGATTTGCTAAAATTGAAAAGCAAAGATTGATATTAAATATATGTTCTAAAAATGTGGGTCAAGAACTTCAATAAAGTAAAAAGCACTTTTTAAAACTTACTTATAGTGGTATAGTTTTCTAAGCCTGTTGCTTTCACCAATCCATGTGATAAAAAAGCACTGTTTTCTTCTTATAACGCCACATTAAACTCTAAACCGTCGTTCTTGAAATATGCGCCACTTTCTACCGCGGGTCATTATCCATGCCAAGCGAAAGTACGAGATCGGAATAAGTGAATGGTTTCCAAAAATTCTTGCAGACGAGCGCGACAACATGCGACCTTCAGAATACCGCAAGAAGGGATAATGGGGTCAAGAATTACAAAGTGCTGTTTTGATTATGACATTTTATTACGATGAGGGCGCTAATGAGCTTAAATATGGCAAATAATTCAAGGGCGGATTCACGCATATACGTAATCCTGTATTTGAATGTCAATATCAATGTTTATTGACAAATTTCAGCTTTAGTGGTCCATTAGGAGTATACATGGGGTGAATATAGTAATCTAGTTTGGGGTGATGATATTCAACTCTGTAGTTTTGCATAATCTGAAAAAAAAAATCTTAAGTCATTGCAGGCTTGCAAGATTGAAATCTGAGATTGAATTACATATTTTCAGGCGAAAAAAATCAGCTGCCCCAAATGGGAAATACCTTAGATTAGTAGCGGTATTTAATTCATATATGTGTATACGGGGTATTTGTTTTTGGAGCTCAACTATGGGCATGGCCTCCAATGTCTGGGAAATTTTCCATTTTTTTGGAATTTTTGATGATTAAACGAAGATTAATTATTAATTAAACGAGAAAAAAAATAATTTAAATAAAATAAAAAAAGTTAAATTAATTAAACAAAATGAATAGAGGTCTCTACCACTAAATTTAACTAAGTGCCGGAAAAAAACATTGTGCGATATAAGCATGGACAAAATATGGCAAGAAATTTCAAAACTAAGGACTGCAGATGATATATTCGATTTTCCAAATTTAAGCAAACAACATAGTTCTATCACTCCCACATTCAAACGCTGAATCGGAAAAAAATTTCTCTATCCTCACAGATGTGAAATGTAAAAAAGAAATAAAATAGACCATGAGGCTTTGAATGGTGTGTGCATTATAAGAAGTTGCCTTTTCGCAAAGATGATCAACTGCACTAATTACAAAGTGACGAAAGACCATTTAGAGTTACATAATTATAACATGTATAACTTTGTAAAAAAGTAATTTATGTCTATCTTCTTTAAATTTAAACGCTAGAAATTGGGGGATTAAATTATTACATACTTTTTTATTTCTGAAAAAATTTTGGTTACATCTACAGTTTAATCTTATATTACTTTTGCGCGACATTTTTTCCATGTTTTTTAATGTATATTTTTGATACCTATATGTGCAACATATTTTTTTTGTTTCTATATGTGTTTTAATATGTAATATGTGCATGCACCTTTGCTACTTTCAAATTTTACGTGGTAAATTTAGAAATTTTTGGGCTTCGGGTTGAGATTTTTTCTTTTCCAGTGTTGGCAACACTAACTATGGGGATCTCGGTAACCATACTAGAACGAGATTGGTTAAATTGGGGCTTCAAAGTTGCGCAGTCTAGAGCTTACTAACAGGCTCGTTGAAATTTTCAAAAAATTTTTCCACTTCCGTAGATATTCGGAAAAAATCAAAATTCGAAAAAAAACTTTTCATTTTCTCCTTAGCCTATTTGACACGGAAACTTAAAATGAATGATACTTATGGAGACTATGGATTCTTGAGAACCATCATCAACTTTATTTTTTTTATGGGCGCTTTCTTGGATTTTTACAAATTTCAATTCAGCTCTTTTTTCTGATTACCATGATGTACCATATGTTCAGGTTCAGTCCTGCTGTTTGGTGAAATTAACAAATATCCTGTTTTTGCAAAGAGTGCTTTGGAATGACTCCCACTCTTTTGTTTTATCAACAGATTTTAGACAGTTTGACTTAATTTAGCTTAGCGTGACCTACAGCTTCAACATTTTTGTATTTTTTTGTCAAAATGCCTCATTCAAATGAAGGAAAACGAGATATGATAGAAATTGATTACGCTTCACACCGAAATGTGCAAGTTACTTCGGAAACATATCTACAGCGGTATCCAGAAAGACAACAACCATTTTGGTTCAATTTTTACGCCCATTATACGTGATCAGAGAAGAAATGAGAATGAAGTGGAAATGTTACAGGCGTGGCGTGAAATGCTAAACTCTCATTAAAAGTAATAAACCGTAATAAATTTACTTCTCCATTAAATTCAAAATAATAATTCTACTTCAACAAGAGCTATAGCAGCAGAAATTAACGTATCTCAACAGGCAGTGTCTGATAGTCTTGAAAAAACATAAATATCGTCCGTTTAAATTTCATATCACCCAAGTTTTCCATCCAGGAGATACCGAACGGATGGTAGCATTTTGTAGAAATATCATGACACTGTTGAAGCAAAACCACGATTTTCTGTTTAATGTGATATTCACGGACTAGTGCAAGTTTCCAAACTCAAGCATGTTCAATCGTCAGAATGAACAAGCTTGCTCCACTGACAATCCACGACGACCACAAACACGTTCTGGACTAAATGTATGGGTCGGATTACTTAGCGATACAATCTTTGGCCCATACAATTACGAAGACAATTTGAACACAGATGGGTATTTGTACTTTTTAAGGACCTACCTGACGGATTATATCGATGACAATATTTCTCTGCGCCGCTTGAAAACCTTCGGTTCAAGCAAGATGGTGCTCAACCACATAATGCTGAAGAATGGCTGATTATTTGTCTGGAATATTTCCCGAAAAAAAAAACAACAAAAAAAAATTATAAATCGGTACCCACCGATATTAATGACCTGCGAAGGAAGATCTTCACAACCTTAAAGACCAAAATTAGAACAAGATACGTTTTAAGTTCACTATAAAATTTAAGAAGGCGCATAGATCTGTGCTTGGAAGTGGAAGGTGAACCTTTCGAACACCTCTTATAATTTTATCAGCAAATCGGTTATATGTCCATATACAGGGTGATTCAAAATTGTCGTCATTCCTTTTAAGGGGTGATAGAGGTTCACTTGGGGGGTACGAGAACAATATTGAAAAAAAAATTTCTAGAAGATATTAACAGTTGAAAATCAAATTTCAACTTTGTTATTAAGCATTATTTAAAAATTGTTCCATGTGTAATTGGTAGCATATTGGAATACTCAAGCATTCAAAAAGAAAAATTACGATCTTTTTTTATAGATTTTTTATATCAAAAAAGTTTTCTTCTACAATTTTTTGATGAAAAGGCACAGCGGCAATTATATTTTTTGTCATTAGCAGATAGTTACAGGTCGATAGGACTTGTCAATAATAACAATAATTTGTCAAACTGTGACTTACTTTGAATTTCTTTTCACGAACTTGCGAATATGCGACTAGTTCATGAGAAATGCTACAGTAACATAGCAGAAGCTAAAAGAACTCACGCCAACAAAGGGCAAGGAGAGTGGTTCCAGAAAGATAGTGGACGATAGATGTTCGGGCTCCAGCCACAGAGGAACAAGTATTGGGCATAATCGAAACAGGGCCTTCCAGGGGCACTCAGAGCACAATAACTGACACTTTCCCAAGCACCAAATAAATACCGATGTAGGGCTACATTCCTACCACGCTTGTACGATACACACAGCACAAGGAGATACAAATGGAGCACGAGTTAATTAACTGAATACGAGAAGCTGCTTGATAAGAGTGGATAATAAGGAGATTACACAGGCACTAGCTTGTTTGCAGTTAACCATTCAAATGTTTGGTGTTGTATGGATTATTTATGTAAACACCAAACCCCGCAGAATTCGAGGTGTCGTACATGTCGAAAGTACGTTGCGCAGTCAACGAATCTTGTTGAACTTACCGTTTATCCTTGTCTATCTTATTGTCACTCTGTATAATTCCATGGTTACCGGAGTTTTTAATAATTACGAAGCAACAGGTATTTTCGCAATGTTAATTAGGTATATTACCTTGAAAAACATTGCTGCCGTATTTCTGATATAGTTTTTTGCAAATTTCTCAGTTTTTCATAACAATTAATTTATTTTACTATTTTTTCTGTACTCCTATAACAGCGCCAGACAACACCTCCAGAGGAATGACGCCAATTTTGAATGACCCCGTATGTATAGGTCGCTTATGTCCAAACCCTCCTGTTGGAAGCAAAATTATTGGAGATGGAAGAACAACTGAGCTGAATGATCAAAATCAAATGGGACATAGTCGGTTTCAGCGAGGTGAGACGCAGATAACATTAAATAATACTTAAATCCGACCATACACTCCATTATAGAGGAAAATAAGACTTTATATAGGAGAAGAGAAATTAAAGGCAAATATCAGGCATAATGAAGATTGAAAGCATAAGTCCGAGAGTTATCTATCTAGTTCTGAGGGTGAACTCAAGATGTAAACTTACAATTAAACAGGTCTATGCACTAACAAGCCACTCAGATGAAGTAGTCGAGGAATTCTATGAAGAAGTCACAACTGTTCTGCGAAAAATACAACAAGAAATTTTGGATATGCCGAGAGAAATGAGAGAGGAAATCAACTAATCAATTTTTTGAATCAGGAAAGTCTGCAATGAGCGCATTTTTTGATAGAAACCATCTCACCGCAAATGGACATGGATAAGTCCAAACGGAACAACAAATAATTCAATAGACTTTAAAACAGCAAAAAGAAAAGAGATCGTCAACGACATAGCGGTTCTGAATATGTTCGCGATTGGACGTGGTCATAGAATAGTTCGTGCCAGGGTATGCTTTGACGTGAAAAGAGAAACAGCAAAAATGATACACAAGATCAAGAATATGAAGCGACATCCTCCAGAAAATATCAAACTATACAGAGACTCCATCAATAACAACTTAAATCCCATGAAGAAATGGATATAGAACAAATGAACACCAACTGCTCTGAAAGCTGAGGAAGCAAGAAAAACGACGAGAAATTAATCCAGAATAGGAAAACTCTCCTGGACGAAAGAAGAAAGCTGAGAAACAAATATGATGCAAATCTGGTAAGGCTGAGAAGCTTAAACAAGGAGATGCAGAAGGGAATCCGAAAGGGACATTAGATAACACAATACGAGAGGTATATCCAAGGTAATTGAAGAAAAATAAGAGTTTGAAAGTTCTAAGGCGAAACGTCAACGGAAAAAAGGAACATAGGTCTCTACATATATTGAAAAACAAACAAGGTCAAGTCGTCAGCGACACGGGAAAATTTTAGAGGCTGTAGCGATTTTTTACCGCGAACTGTAGAAAGAACCAATACAAAATGAAAACCGACCCTTTATAGAGGTACTGAACCAGGGTTCTAAAGAGATGACATCCGGACGTAACACTACAGGAAGTAAAATGACCATACAATAGATGAAAAACGAATAAATCCCCGGGAAGCGATAGAGGCTATAAAATGGGCTGGAAAAGGACTTCTACGAGCTCGTGTTTAATGAATGCCCAATGTTTAAGCGAAGGAGCTCGTTCAAACTATCGCCCTATACGCCTACTTTCTCATGTCTATAAGCTCTTTAGGAAGATCGTCACAAAGAAATTAATAAATAAATTAGACTAGACCAGCCAGGTTTTAAGTCTTGATCGCAAACGATTACCTACTGAAACCTAAGAAAAATCTGATGGAGAAGTGTGCCGAATACAATAAACCCTTGGTATATTAGAAGCTTTAACAGAATGTAGAATAGACAGCCGTTACATAAAAATAATTCAACACATTTAAGAAAATTGTCGAATGGAAACGAAAGAAAATGTCATTGCAAAGGAACGTGAGGCAGTGGACTGGCATACATGACATTCAGACATTGATCCACACGGCTAGAGACAGGCAAGCTATGGAAAATGTGGTCGCAAACATTAATTAATGTATAAGCAGAGAAAGAAGAAGACCAAAATTTTATAGCCAGTGTAACAGTCGGAGATCAACAAACAAATAAATTCGCAATAAGCCGTAAAGTCCGACAGGGCGACACCATATCGCCAAGGTTGTCTACTACACTCTTGGAGTATGTATGCAAAAGAAAGAACTTTGATTAGAAAGACATAAATATAAATGGAGAACGGCTTAGCCACCTGCGATTCGCTGACGATATATTAGCTGACCAAATAGACGAAGCCAAGGATTTAATAGAGAGGCTTCACAGTTCCTCGCTTGAAGGACGACTGAAAATGAACATGACCAAAATACAAACTATGACAAACCTCGTGCTCAGCAGATAGCAGACGTATATCAGTTCCTGGAAAAACAACCGACCAAATCACATCATATAAACATCTGGCACATGAGATTAGGCAATAGGAAGAGACAATCAAAGCACTGAATTTAACAGACACATAAGTCGGTACTTCCATTGTCCCTCAAAAGGAAACCTACGGAGCAGAGACATTGATACTGACCAGAAAACCCATGAGTATGCATAGGCAAAACCCGCGTGGCCCAAAGAGCCATAGATCGTGCAATGTTGGGTACCTCTCTTAAAGACAGAGTCCCAAGGAGTGAAATACAACACAGAACGAAAGTAGTGGATGTAGAGAGAATAACTACTCTAAAGTGGAACTGGGCTGGACATGTTGCTAGCCTAACAGACAATAGTTGGACTAAACGAATGAGTGGAGGTCGAGCGAGGAGGCCAATCGAAATAGGAGCCGTCCTCAACGAGATGGGCCGAGCGTTGCCAGGGAAACTGGATGCAGGCGGCGCAAGGTCGGAATACATAGAAGAGACTGAGGGAGGCCTATGTGCAGCAGTGGATATAAGACAGGGTTGGTTGATGATATGATTAATTTTAATTTTGAACATATATTATTGCTAGGACCTCCCCCAGTGGAAGTTGGTGATAGTGGGAACTGCAGAAAGAAGACGAACACCTGGGATATCACCTGAGAGAGGAATAAACCAAAAATTAAAACCCTTCTGGGCAAACTCTCCAGTCTACCGGATGCTTCACATCTGGCCTACACTGGAGCAACTCAGTGCGAAAAAGTAAGAGAAGGAATAGATGTTCTCACCATACGCTCGCGTAAAGTGAAGGACTAGAGACAGATATGTGATTAATTAAATTTAATTTCTGACTTGGAGATACATTTTCTATATCTGGGGCGTCATTCAAGTAGTCTGTATATTCGTCTACTCTAGCGACGTGGTCAGCCCGCTTTACCATTAGCAACATTTTAAATGCGTGAATCTTTCTGTCGTATCCGTAACTTCTGTTCTTCTACGTAATTCTTCGTTTGATATTTAATCTGGCCTATATGAGAGTGTCCAGACAGAGGACCACTGCCAACTGGATGGACGGACGATTTGACAATTATATCTTCAAACTGGATCCACGATGCCCAAGACCGAATAAAATGCTTTGTTTAAGAGAGGCTTATATCCGGCAGTGGACGAGAGAATGTTGGCGGGCAGGCCTTAAAGACCCTTTTCACAATTCTCCCCGATCCACCGCGCCTTACTACCCCTCCTCTTCATCACCCAGGCGTCCCGTCTCCCTGACGAAGGCGAGGATTCGTCTCTACTCTAGGGAAGACAGTTCCGTGCAGGAGAGTGTGGAGGCCCTAAGCAGGCGCCTCCTCATGGACGACCAGTGGTGACATACTCCCAGAAGGTGATACGATGTTTCCTCTGCCGTTCCACATTGTGGACATACGATGCTATCACCAAGTCTAAGTGGCTGTAGGCGTCTGTTCAGACCGCAATGGCCTATCATAATTCCAACCAGAGTTCTCAGTGCTCAACGACTCCGTGACATCAGCAATTTGGACGTTGCCTTGGCCTCGCCTGGCATTCCAATCAACTCTTTGTCTTGTCCGCCTTTTTCCATGACTCTGTGGTACCTTTAAGGGCCCAGTCGTTAAGTGCGCTTGCTATTCACTGCCCTTAAGTGGGCCCCATATTCATTTCAGACCCAACTTCCTAAAGCTTTTTAAGAATTATCGTTCTCGAGAATGTACGCAAAAAAATTGTCAGCTTGAAAAGGTACCTAAATCATGACTGCTGCAATGTTGTGCAAGTAAATATCTAACTGTTGGTCTTTTCGTGAGATTCAAAGAAAACATGGCTCTATATTTTCCTGGAATCCAATAACACCGCAAAAGATATAGCCCCAATTGATTAAACCCCTGTACTACAAGTCACACTGAAACTTACCGTTGCCAGAAGGGTCTGTATTTCTAACTCAGCAAACCGTTTTCCTAAACACATTCGTTTGCCGAACCCAAAAGGCAGACATGCGAATGGATGATGGGTTTTAGTCATTTGACACTCTTTCAACCATCTTTCCGGTAGAAATTTATCGCTTTCGGAAAAAAATTCTTCTTGGTTACTGATCACGAAATGTTGAAATACAATTTGGACCTATTTGATAAATAATAAGTGCATAGTAAAAACATTTTGCGATGTCTTTCAAGAAAGTACGTACACCTTTCGGAACGTTATATCCACCAATAACACAATCAGATGAAGTTTGCCGGCCATTGCCTATTACAACAGGAAACATTCTAAAACAATCTGGATTAATAACTTACATTTATTAATAAAAAGTAGGTCTGTTATCACCTCATGGTTTCTTTGATGCAAGCTTTCAAATAGCTCATCTCGTCTAGTTTATCAATGGTCAGTTTACTATCGGCATTTGGCAAAATCCTATCCAATTCTTCATGCAAAAGCTGTTGTTTTTTCGGATTAATCGATAGTTGATACAGAATAGATGCTACAGCATTAGAAGTCTGAAAATGAATTAACAACAAACATAACAGGATTCAAGTGAAATTATTTATCTGTTTATTTAAATACATTTGCACAAATTCTGATAATTAAATCACACCGTTTAATAATGTTAACTTTTCAGCCATAATAAGAAGAAACTCTGTAGGCTACATCTGGTTTCAGTTAAATTTTCGTTTTAAATTTAAAATTTAAATTTAAGTTTTCAGTTAATTCAAAATTAAATAATGTCTAATTAAAATTTAACAGTTGCGTAATAAAAAAAAAATGTTGTTCCGCTCGCTCAATCAGCGGATGTAGGTAACTAAACTAACACGCAAGATTTTACTGTCGACATACTTGAAAGTGTCTGCAAAATTACTTATTTTGCTCAATTATACACGCAACGTTGCTCATCAGTTTGCGTTTAACAATGTGTATAACACGTTTAAATTTTATGCAATATGAGTAAATAGGCAATGATTTAAAACTGGGAAATAAGCGACAATTGTTGCTAATTATTTATAACGGATAATATTGGCAAGACGCAAAATGCATTAGCATATTTTGCATTTTTTACTTACAGTGTCCACTCCTACCAGAAATAGATCCAACGCAAGAATACTAGCCAGTTTGACATTATTTTCCCTTTTAAGGACCTTTTGCATTACGGACAACTGATCATCGTTCGCTTCCAGATTGAGATTATCCATAGATTTATTGATGTATTTGAGACATATTCTATTGTGTAAGAATTTAATTAGTGAGCATTGACTTTTGGACCTTTGGAACTTACTCTCGTATTGAATCCAAAGCCTCTATGTAACGATTAAATGTTGAAGTAGGAAATACCCTCCAGAAAGGAATTTTCAGTTCTAAAATCGGCACATTAATAAAGAATGTATTTATAGCATCGATCAACCGTTGAGTATCAGCTGGAGGGTGCTCTTCTAAACATCCCATTTTGATGTCCAATGCAATTCTGGCCAACGCTAAAAAAACAAAAGTACATTTTCAAATTGCAAGAAGAATATGGAGAGACATTACATTCCAATGACCAACGATGAATTTCGTTCAGAAAATTGTCAGGCATTTCGGAAGCATCATTCCTCAGACCACCAATTCTAAAACGGAAATTTAATTAAAGTTAATGGTTTTGAAAGCCTAGTAGCAATTGACTTTACCTTTCTACAAATTTCTCGGCTGTTTCTAAGATGACTTGAGCATACATTTTAGCAGATCTGGGTTGGAGCATGATCTGATTGACTTTTGATCGGAACTTCTGCCAATTTTGTCCGTGCCTAAGCCACAATTTGTTTTAATACCGAGTAAGTTAAATCGCAGTTGGTGCAATTATTACATAAACAAGGACAATTCAGACCACGATGTCACAAAAAAGGTCGGTAATTTGTCATTAGTCGAGTCAACATATGGGTTGGAATGGTAACGACCTGTATTTTTAAGTAATTTGCGATATGATGAAAACAGAAAAAACCGTGAATGATAATGTATTTTTAATAGGACAACCTGGATATTATCGAAGCAAATCTTAAACTCTAAAGACTAAACACAAAATATTAATATGTTATTAATGTACAGGGTGAGTCAGCAAAGCAACACTTTCCTCTTAGATCGCCCAAAAAAAGCTACCGGAAAAAAACGTTCTTATAAAAGTGTTGTGGTTGACACCAAGGTGGGCAAGGAGCGAAGGCGAATAACAACTCTAAAGGCCAGCCCAAATGTCAACCTCACCTGCACGTGGTGCCCACTGCTAGAAACTAACGAGGCTCTGACGAACGAGATACGACGGAATGGAGTTAAGGAAATGTAATTCCCAAATTCACCAACACGCCTAAGAAGCGTGGTGTTTGAATGCCAGCTCCTTTCATAGATGGATATGTCGAAATTTAAAACATATATACCCCAGGCGAGTAGAGGTGAAAACCCGGAATTTCGCACTGATACTTCAGTCAGCCCCATGGATTCTGGGGAGGAACTTTTCATGGATGGTAAGAGGAGAAAAAGCAAACTTGAAGATACCCTTTACGTGCAGACGCACAATATCCGCACCATGAGGCTGGGAGAACATCCCAGCGGCCTAGAACACGAACTGCAGAAGATAAAGTGGGATGTCATGGGGATCAGCGAAACAAGACCTCAAATCAGGATATTTACTGTTCCAAAGGAACTCGGAAACAAAATCACACATCGGAAGCGTTGCTTTACTGGTTTCCAAAAAGGAGAAACACCTGGGTACAAAGACAAGAGCCGGGTGAAATAGCGTAATTTATGTGATGATCAGGATCAAGGCCATGCGCAGAAAATACCAAAATATGTGTGATAATAGGCGATGTCAGTTAGAAAATTGGAGCCAGATTGCCGATGCCTTTCTTCATCGGTAAGACCAACAACAGATCCACCGACAGAAACTTTTTCTTTATTGAATATAATAGATATATCAATTTAGGAGGGAGGTTTAAAATACAAGAAAATAGTGCAGGCCTTAGCGTTTTTTTGTCAGCAATTATTTGCGGCCTTTCAACATTGTGGAAGGAGAAGGATTTTTACGTCCTCCGAAAGTGATTCAACCTAATTTTAAGGTACCTACCTAACGCTTTAAAGCTTTAAATGGATAAAAAAATTTAAAGTGTGAAAACCGCTATATCTAAGGTTCATGATATTGTGCGTCGAATAAAAAAGATACGTATCTGTTCTGGTTTTGAACAGTCAGTTTTAAAACTTATTGACGATTTGAAAACAATATCGAACTGAATAATATCTTCGAAAAGTAAAAACACTTCTAAATATTTCCAGCAACTCGTTTTTTGTGAAACCTTCAGAAAGAATATTTTTTTGTTTACCTTATAGCAATAAATGCATTACAATATATTCCATGAATTTTATTACAATCCCTTCTTTAAACCGCTTTTTTACAGTTAAAATTTAGGGTAATAGTAAATTTCGGCCATGAAAAACTCATCGAAAATGTATAATTAAAATGTGTTTATGACGATTATACGTAGAGTCACTCAATCCGAGGTGTGCCCTATCTCCGAGTTAACGTATGCGTTTCCGACCCAGTTATCCATCAAACGTTAAAAAGGAAAAAAAATGTTGGATGCATAAAGTTAGATGCCCTCATACGAATAGTCCATTAGTTAGAGAGAGAGTTAACATCAAACCATCGAAGCTTCTAAAACATATGCACCACATGTGAACGTTTTGACCATTTGGCCCACCTACTACCCTACTTGTCTTTGTTTATGATTTGCATTCACTTTCAATTTCGTTCGTTATTGTTCTTGACCTATCTTCTGAAACGCTTTTAATGGAGCATGCACAGAAGAGGCAAAAAAAACCAACCCGCAAACAATTTCAAAAATTAGTAGAGTTTGTGGATGAAAATAAAGTTTATTTTCAAGACCCTTTACCAATTGTTCTAATAAAGCTAACCTTATAAGACCACCAAAAGCCATAATTTTCTTTGAAATTAAAAACAAATTATAGCTAAAAGACAAAACTACGCTCTGATTAAACACAATTGTTTTATTTATTCCTTCGAGGTAAATTCGAGGGACGCACGTTAAGTTTGATAGCTGCATGTGATTTGATGCTGTTATTCTGAAGCGCTATTTTTTAATATAACGTTCGTCGATAGCGTGCGCCTGTTATAATATAAAGGTTTTACTGAAACAACACACCAGTTGGAGCCACATAACGTGTTTGATGGATAACATGCACGTTAAAGTTAACGTGAGTGATACAGCACAGGGCTGAATATCGAGTCAGTCAATAAAATTGTGAGCAGGTAATGGTTTCGATACTTTCAGAATACTGATATGAGCAGTATTGCAAGACGATTTGGTTACTACTCATTTGAGTAAGTATTAATACTTTCAGAATACTGATATGAGTAGTATCGCAAGATGATTTGGTTACTACTCATTTGAGTAAGTATCGATACTTTCTCAGTATCGTATCGTCCCTAGGCTCGATTAATGCGAGAGATCTGATTCTTACACTCCTCGATTAATTTTTAATCGTAATAATTAATTATATTTATGGGTTGCAAAAACCAAAAATAAATTTAAAAAATGGTAATATGCAAGACACAAAGAAACTTATTAAGAACTTCATTGCACATTTCAATAAAAGGTACACTCGTATATGAAAAAATGTGACAAATATGAGAGAACATGCACCGAGCAAAAATTTTGTTATTTTCAAGATTTCTTGTCATTAACTCTTTATTTTACGTACAAAAGCAGCAGGATTATCCATAAATGTTACTCCTTACTATCTAGCTTTCAGTTCGCTTCGTAACTCATTCAAATTTGTAAAGTTATTCCGCACTCTCACCACGAATTGACCTAATGAACATCTACTGGACATCGATATCGGGCCTATCTCGTGCCATTCGGCATCCAGATATGAAGCAAGCATTTCTTATACTTCTTTATGAGATTTTGCTGAAAATAGTTCAAACTAACATTTATCCTACGTTGTAATTTTGAAATAAAACAATCAATTGAAGACAGTTATAGCTACTGACAAAGACAAATCTTAGAGCGATGTGCAGTTTTTTTTTAGAAGTAGGTATTACCGAAGTATACTTTTTTCGGAGACTCTTTTCTCAAAATACGGTATCAGAAAATCAGTCAGTATTTTCAAGACATCCTGTATGATTTCGAACAAATTGCTGTACGCCGTAATCAAGCATAGGGTTTCCCTAACCCAGTACCACAATTTTAAATTTCCAGGTATCGAAATCGCGTTGTAATACAAGATTCCTTGGGGCTACGTTTTGATTAAAAATAATGAATTTTATTTAATATTTCGGAAACCGCTTTAGATAAATATAGAAATCGTTATGCAAAAAATAATTATATCTATATAGACAATCTAACCATGCAATAATATACAGGGTGTCTCATTTAAAATCTCAACGTTGCATGTAATTTTTGGTATAAGCGGCACCCTCGCATTGCTGAAAATAATTTAGGCCGATAGAGCATATTCGATGACTTCGTTGTACAAATTTGCAGATAGATCCACAAAATATCCCCCCTGGGGGTATGTTCTGTGGATGGATTGGGCATCGCATTCTCCTTAAAGGCCGAGTCACATCTATCCGATCCGACTCCGATCAGAGAACCTTCCGTCGATGACCAAATAACCGGATCGGTGCGTGATAGGAAAGGGGAAGCCACACATGTCATACACGTTTCAGTTTCCGTTCCGATTTTTGGACGAGTGCAAATCACAGATTATCAAACTATTCCTAAGACTAAGT